GAATATTGGAGGTAACATATCAAATTACATACATACATATCATCATATTTGGAGATTTAAGGATGCATTATTTGGCTTTGTGCCTGCAATTTATAGGGAATAATTTCAACTTCAGGATTTCAGAGCTGCAGTATGTGTGGTGACTTAGCTTTATAACAGTGAGTATCAGAATGCTCAGTGTGTTATGTCTAAATTTAGAGCAATTCACCCTAGGTTTTGAAAGCAGCCATCAGCCATTTTCTAATAAATGTTCTTCTGTGAGCAACACTCTGCTTTTTACTTGAAACAGAATGATTCATCAAGGCTCAGCATTCTCTACATGTTGAGTGTTTTCTTTACACACACCTGGGCATTAGCAGCCTCTGAAAGTCAAGCTTACACTCCATCCTCTGTGTTGCTATGATGCAAGCTGGATAGTGGAATGAAACGTTTTAAGCTCTTTCAATGTCAATGTTAAAGTTTGGTTCAATGTGGAGGAGCGAATAGCTCATGCAGTGTCTGGAAAAACATAAGCTGCAATATTAATTTCACTTTCTTCTCTGGAGACTTCTGACTTATGTGTACTTAATATTATTATTATGATTATTATTATTATTATTTTAGTGCCATTACGCAGTTGCAATTGCAATTCAGTAGTATCCTATATGGGAACAAGAGCAGAATAAACCAGGTGTATTCCAAACATATAGAGGTGGCCTGGTCTTACTATATTGTCCAAATGCTTGTGCCAGCGTATTGTGCCAGAGCGATGAATAGGCTGACCTAATGATTCCTGTGTCAGTGTCTCTTTAGGTCGTCTTTCTCTCTGTGATCTGTATGGCTGCCTCTCATAAAGTTGTTGTGATTGCCGTGCAGGTCTGACAGTTTGCTTCACGTCTTGAGTGTCATGTCCAGTAGTGACATTTCCGGAAGCGACATTTTCAAGCATTCAGCTGAATTTGTATCTCCATTATAAACACCTCTGCTTCAGCACCACGTTCAGGCTGATGTTCTGTAGAAGGAGTAATTGGATGTGCAACATTTTGCTCTCCAGACAGTCTCTGAGCTCCATCATCCTGATGTTTCATTTGATTTAGTCCCCCTGTGTGTCTTTCTGTGAGGAATATGATGTTTTCACTTTGGGCTATGGAAAAGTGGCAAAAAGCATTGTATTTCACCAACATGTAAAGAGGCCTGTCTCTGTGCCACATTCAGGCTTTATGTTATAAATTTAGCTGTTTTCCCCCTTTTGAGAGACCACAGTATGTATTTGATCATCCCAATGTGAGTGCAATTATCCAGCTCCTCCACGCTCTAACATAATCTTCACAAGGACCTGGAACACATAGAGAAAGTACTGAACTTTGCCTTTTTTTGCTCATAGTATGTTTTTCCTCTTGCTCTATTGTCTTTTTGATGGTTTTGGGTGCAATTTCATATTCTTTTTTCAGTTGCTGCAGCCATTTTGAGCATTTTCCTGGTGTGAGTTATATCCTTCCTAATTATTTATCCCAAAGATTGAGTCAACTAACAAATGGGGCTTCCTACCAAAAAGCAAACAGAAAGTAGAGTAACCCATTCGCTTCGCTGGTTGTGCAGTTGTAAGTATGTACAACTTTATACACACAGTCACTCAAATTTCCCCTTTTTCTCCTCATCTAAGGTCCGCAGCATAGATACCAAGGTGAGATTATTTTTTCAGATGGGTTCCCTTGTGGGTGGTCAAGAGTTGTTTCTGAGTTTGCAATAGCAGTGTATTTTTGTAGTTATCTCAATGACTGGTGCTCAAATTATTTGTCTTGATCATGGTGTATTTTAGCAAGAAATCCAAATTTTGAAGTAACATTTTTCTGCTGCTGTTTGCCTTATTTGTTATGGGTTGAATAGGGTTAGTGATGTTGTCAAGAATCACTAAAATACACTTATACACTCCCCTGTTT